GAGCAGGGTGGCATGCAGGTCTGAATTTAAAATTTTCTTTTTTATCCTTATTTTTTCTCCAGACCTTTTATTGTCTTGTATTGCATGTTGGTTGCTTTATCTGGTACTTCTATTAGGTTCTTTCCAAGGAGGACATAGAGACATTGGAACAGTGCAGAGCTATGTGCAAAAGGGGCGAATGCCCTCCTCTTTTAGTTGTTTTTGATTCATGTGAAGGGTACTTGCATCTTGAACAGATTTATTGAGGTAGCAACTATATTTTGGGTACTGCATATTTGAGTAGGTTCAACTCTATTCTTCTGTGCAGATATACAGTTGAGGCAGATGACCAGATAAAGGATTTGACCATCATAGCAGAATACTCAGGTGATGTGGATTACATCAAAAACCGAGAACATGATGATTGTGATAGCATGATGACCCTTCTTTTGGCAAGAGACCCATCCAAAAGCCTTGTCATCTGCCCTGATAAACGTGGAAATATTGCTCGCTTTATCAATGGAATTAACAATCATACACCGTAAGCCCGCCTAACCCATTGCTTCTCCTATTATGATATATATTGAAGCAAAATATGACCAGTTTATTGTCAAACCTTTTTATTACTTGTCTTCTGCTCTATACGACACATGATGCCCTTCAACATATCCTATGTGACCTCACATATAAAATTCTACTTTTTCTGTGAAAATTGTATCCGAATTAGAAATTATCAGCCCATCCTCTGTTAAGCTTAAAGTTATATCCAATTCTGTGCAGGGATGGTAAGAAGAAGCAGAATTGTAAATGTGTGAGATACAGTGTAAATGGGGAATGCCAGGTCATTTTGGTTGCTACTCGTGATATTGCTAAAGGGGAGAAGCTATACTATGATTATAATGGATATGAGCATGAATACCCTACTCAACATTTTGTTTGAGAAAACTTATAGATATCTAACAATCCTACGGAACTGGGATGCAATTTTGGATCCAGCTAGATCCTTTCTCATCCGGCGTTTTATTTCAGGGCTTACTCATTGCTATTGCAGAGTCAAAAAGCATTTCTTCTAATGTATCCATGGGCTATTTAGTAATTTATCATGTAGAGCTGGCCTTTTCTGAGACCATGACATAAATAGAGCAGGAGAGAAACTTTCCTTAGAATTTAGCCTAGGAATATTTTGAAGGAAATTTTTTTGTAATACAGATTTCAATGGAATATTGTAATTCTCATTCCTTGGCATCCTCTGTGTTAATAATCTGTTGGTCATTTACAAGGTATTTCCATTTAAAAATATCCATTCGAGCTTTTTTTTAATTGTTTCCCCCTCTACATTTCACTAACTAAATTTTTTTAAATGCAATTTTGCATTTTCACCTTTGTTATGATTTGCTGGTTCATAATTTGTAGGAAAGCAAGTATTGCTATCAGTTGCTTTACATATTGATGCTATATTTTCTGTCAGCCCCATTTGTGATTCAATTTGATCCATCATGTTGAACTAGAACACTGGAATGAATGCTTAATTGCAGAGGCTTTCATGGTGTATCTAATCAACTCTGGTTCAATATATGCTGCAGCTTGTCATGAAATTTCACTGACATATCTTTCTGTATTCTCTTCAGTTTTTACATTCTGACTTCTCAATTGTGAATTTTGAGATATTCCATTTATCCATGGATAATTCAAAGGGATTCTTCAAAGCTGCTGATAAGAGTTAACTGGGACATGAGATGTGCCGTGCTTCTTTGGATGCTTGTTGCTGGTTGTCTCATGTTGGCCCCCTATTCCTATGCATACAAAATTTATGTTTATTTTGAAAGACCAATTAAGGTGCTGGGTCCAGTGCCTATACACCAAGGCTGTTCAAGATATTGATGTGAATGCCCTCGCTTGTTGCTTAATGCATGCATTATAGAGGCTGTTTCTAGGAATCACAAGGCTTGAGATTCAAGTCTCGAGAGCAGCCAATTAATTCATTTGGCATAACTGAAAGGGTTGTACAATCTCCAAATTCTCGTTCAAATTCACTTATGTGGATTCGTGGAAATTTTGGTTTCACTTATATTTATACCTACTCATCACAATGCACGTGTGATGCATTATTTTCAGGTTTGACAAGATGGTTTGCTTCTTTGAAGTTGCTGTTGTTGATGCTTCATCTAAACAGACAGTGAGAATCCTTATGGACAGCATCACCACTCTAGTTGCTTCCCTTTGTTTTAGGAGGTATGAATTTTGTCAGCTGGAAATTTCATCAGATGAAAAAATCTTCACAAATTTTGAAATCTTCAAGCCGAGGTGCTCCCCTTCTCTTTTGTAAAATACATTTGTGAATTTGAAAAAATACATAAGAAAAAGATAAATAAATCTCCGATCAAATTTATAGTATAAATTCTGAAATTTGTTTTGAAAATTCATACCGAGTTTTTCCAAATTGGAATATGTAAACTGATAAGCAAATAGGCTATAGGATGCTCTGGCATCCATGACCTTGGCCATGTTATTCTCCCCTGATGATGTTTTATTCTTTGACATATAGAGTTCCCATTTCATTAAATTTTGAATTAGATGGCATCTTTCTTTTCAGGGTTCTACATGCTTGAGAGTCAGATTCAAGTTGTGCATCTAAAGCTGTGTTCCAATTATTTGATTTGCAGCTCAGCATTGAATAGAAAGATCATTTCCAGCTGCTGATCTTAGGTATCGGGCAATCACAGGTGACTGAAACTAGATATCGAATGACTAAGACAGTTTTGATGCAGGTAAAATATAGTTAGTTCATCTGTTAAGCTTTCAAACTGTGCATATCACGGTCTGTACAGAATGTCAAGCTTGGGTAACGTTTCTTTTACCTGTTGTTAGCTTGCCTAACTGATTAAATGAACTTGATGTTCAATGATTTGTCAGATATTCCGCACTCTATTAAAAGTTTATGCAATGAAATTAAATAATGTAATCCTCTTCCCTTACCAATTGAAGTCTTCCACTGTCTATAATGTCAAAAGTGAGTTCTGTGTTTGGTATTGTGGCAACTTTTTGTGGTTGTGGTTTGAAAAAAGTTGTTTTATGGTACTGCACCTGCGTTGTGTTCTTTTGTTGGGACTTACAGGTTGAATTTTGCATGGTAAAAACAGATTGCAAGGACCAATTGCTAGAAGTTTCTCAAGGTATCGCATTTTATGGACCTGGGTTCACTTTCCTGAGTAGGTGAGGGCACCTGAATCTAACTTTTGGCTTGTGTGGTGAATTCTAACCAATTCAATGGTCTATTAATTTTGACATGGTAATAGAAGCTCGAAATGCCAAATTCATGATTACATACAGAGGTTGTCACCGTTATTATTTCAGTCCCAGTTAATCCCAGTCCCACACAAGGTATCCTTGTGCATCGATTTCTTCAGCTATCATATCTTGTTTTTGCAGGGGATTTAGCACTTATTGATTTTAATTAAAGTTTCCAAAATCCAATATAACAATCAAAATTGGAAGTGTCCCCCATTATTGCTTGCCTTCTCACAGGACAAAATCTTGGTCATGCGATTTGCCTACACCAAAACGCATGCCCTAACCTTCAATATAACACAGTTTCATTCTGATAGGACCCGTTGTAAAAATCTGAAAACAAAAGCTTTTCTGCAAAACTTCATACTCTTCTTTAACAGATAATTAACCAAAACTCTAAACTGTGAGGGTTTTTCATTGTAGTAGTAGATATAGTTAACTGTGAATTGCTATTGTCAAATCACTCTTTTGCCCATGAGTTAAAAAAAAAAAAGTGTAATGGTATTGAGGATGTTTTGGTTTTTATAATTGGTCCATTAGTCATTAAAAAATTATTTAGGGATAGCTTAATATTTTTTTTAACAATTTCTTGAGTTATTTCCCAAGAGTTTTTTAGTCTTTTTAAAAACATTGAAATAGTTAAAATACTTATTTTACCTTTGAAGTAAAAAAAATGAGTTATTAATGGAGGGTTTTTTTAGTTTTTTGTACTTTGAAATACAATAGAAATACTACTATAGAAAAGATAAAAATCAAGATGTGTTTAGGGGTATTTATGTATTTTTATTATGGTTTTTTTTTTTTGTGTTCATGAAGGGCATTATGATATTTCTATATCAAAAAAATAATTATTTTATTTAAAAAAGATACTAGCGTGTTATGTTCATGCGCTAGTGACAAGGTGTCATATTGATGTAGTATTATGGTTAGTTTCTTATTGGTGGTTTTTCTCTTTCTTTCTTTTTCTCTTCTTCTCTCTTTTTTAGAGAAAGTGCAAATTTGTTCTTTAAAAAAAATTGTCAATTTCAATCCTTTTATTTTTTTAATTGTTTATTGATGTCCTTGGTCTTATTAAAGTTTTAGTTATCTTCAATTTAGTTCTTGAATTACAATGTCATAGATTATTATTTTTTTAATGCAATTCTTATTTTTTTGATTTCTAATTTTTTTTTCTTGATGCTTTTGTTAAAATTTTGTTGATTTTTAATTTAATTCTAGGTTTGTTCTAGTCTCATAGCCAAAACTATGAGTTTCGCATGTTTTTTTTTAATAATTTTTTTAAATGATTTTTTAATTTAATTTTTGAATAATTCTTTTTTATTTTATAAAGGTGAGCTTTATTTTATAAATAAAAAAATATTTATTTTTAAATAATATTTCTTATATGTTTGGTCTTGTATGATGTTTTCAGTTCTGTATTTGTTTTTGTTTGTATCATTTTATATTGATTTTAATAAGTAAATTTGATAGACATAAATAGGTAAATATCTCATCCTACATCAAATATCTTAGTCTATATCTATCTATTAATTTTTCTAGTTTATCTTTTAGTTATTGTTAATGGTTTTTTTTTTACACATGATTATTGGTTTATTTGATTAGACATGAGCTTTTTGATTTATAGTTTGATTTTATTTTTTTAGAAAATAGCTTGCATACCTCGGGGTTTTTTCTATATAAAAACAAAATGCAGTGCGTGAGTTAAATTGTTAGTATAAAGTTAAAAAACGTGGGAAAACAGAAAACACTATTTTGCCACACTCATTAGCATTAGAGATTATAATCATTAATTTTTTTTCTTTTGCATTTTGACCCTCTTTTCCCTTTAATTATTGATTTTTTTTTTAATTTAGTCTTTGTATGATATGTTTGTAGGGATTTAAAGTTGATAATTTATTTTCATTTGCCTTTTATATGGTTATCATTATATCAAAAAAATCTCAACATTGCGATATAGTCTATTTTTTAAAAGTTTAGTTAAATAAAAAATGATTTTGAAAAAAAAATAGATTATTAAATTTTATGGAGTTAAAGATCTAATTTGCAAGTTTGGCGAGACAATCTTAGTTGTATCAGTTCATGGTTTAGTAGAGCTTTTTATTTTTACTCATTGTACTTGATTATGTAATCATGTATTCTTCTTTTTATCACATAGTTTAAAAACATTTTTTAAAAAATCAATGTTATTAAATTTTAAGAAGTCCATGGACATGTTGACTAGTTTATCAAGTTTAATTTTATTAGGTAAAAAAAAATCAACATGACATAGTTCAACATGTTACTTTAAGATTTGGTCAAATATTGTCAACATGCTAAATCATTTAATTTATTAGATAAAAAAACAGTCAAATGGTACTACCAAAAAAATATTTGTATTCTTTAACATTTTGATTGATTAGATTGATAAATTTCAAGATTGAATTGCTTAATTAGATTCAAATGATACTATTAAAAAAATATTTGTACTCTTTAACATTTTTTTTCAAGTTAAAAAAAAAAAGAATAATTCAATTCACAGTGAAACGCAAACGAATGTACTAATATAAAGTTAAAAAACATTGTTTCCTTACACCTATTGCCACTGTAATTATAATATATATATATATATATATATATATATATACACATATATATATATATATAGTGTTTTGACCTTTGTTATTTATTTTTAAATTTTTTAATTATATGATGTGTTGCTAGGGATTTAAAGTTGATAGTTTATTTTAATTTATTTTTTATATAATTATCATGATATCAAAAAAATATCCTAACATAGGGTTAGTATCAGAAAAATATTTCAGCATCGCAATATTAATATGGTATATTTAAAAAAATAGTAAAAAAAAATTCAATTATGAAATTTTATTTTAACGAGCTAATCTTGGTTGCCTCGGTTTGCAGGTTTAGTAGTGGTTGTTCTTTTTACTTATTGATCATGATTGATCATTTATTTTTTTATAATATGGTTTTAAAAAACAAAATCTTATTAAATTTTAAAAAGTTCATGAGCCTATTGACGAGTTCAACTTAAAAAAGTTATTTTTTTTTAATTTTATTTTTTAATATTATGCTAATTGAGAATTGAGTTTTATAATTTGTTTAATTTTATTTTTTATGAGTTTATTATAGTCTTAAAAAAAATCCTAGTATTTGTTTGATAGTTGATTTTATGATTGTCTATTTTTACTATTATATAGTTAAATAAACAAGTTTTTTTTTAAAAGAAGTTATTAATTCTAATAAAGTTCCTTGCCCGATTTACAAGTTTGACGTGTTGACCCGGTTACCTGATTTATAAGTTTAGTTGGTTTACTAATCAAACTTAATTTTTTTTTTATTTTTTTTATTTTTGGTCCTTTAATATTATTTTTTATTTTTATTTTTCTTTAATATTGGATTGGCTGGGAAATAAAATTCATGATTTATTTATTTTTACTTTTCTATAGAGTTATTATGATTTCAAATAAATGTTTTTTAGGGTGAATGATCGATTTTGCCAATATCTAATTTTATCATAAAATTAAATAAAAAAATTTACAAAAACAACAAAGTTAGTAAATCCATTTAAGTCTGTGATTTATTTAGGTCCCTAGACGATTGAGGTGATCCAATCTAACTTCGTCTCACTATTAAAAAATATTATCTAAATTTTTTTATTATTATTCTAATTATCTTTGGACCCATTGAATATAAAACTCAAGTTAAACAAGGAGTCAAATTAGTAGGTTTTAAAATCAAACTATTTAATTAAATTTATTGATATTGCTAAAATATTTCTATACTTTTAATATTTTCTTAAAAAAATTCTAACATGTAACGAAGTGCAAGAGAATATGCTAGTATTATATATAATATGGTTTATTAATTTCTAGATGGTTAATAATTTATCATGTCAAATTATCTAAACCAAATCCCAGGTTCCTAATATTGACCATAGTTATTAAAACTAGACTAACTGGGTAGATCGACTATGGACCTGGTCTACTTGGTAGCTAGATCAATCCAAGTAAGATAAAAGACTGATAAAAGCTGTAAAATAGTCAAACTTGGTAGACCTATGACTTGAGCGACCTAGCAAAACTTAATAATAACTTTTTTTTTAAATATGTTTTTTTATAGCAAGATTCTATTTTTTAATATTTTTTAATCGGTTATTAATACTTTTTGAAGTTCACTGTATAAATATTAAAAGAATTTTTTATTTTTTCAATGAAGGATTTGAAACTTTTTAATATATATATTTTATGTTTATAAGAAAAAAATTATGTTTCGTCAATGTGGGATAATTTTTTTTATTTAAATGCTTCAACTTAAAAAGATAATATAATATCTTTTAAATATGAAATAAAAAATCTTTTAAAATAATATTTTAAACTTTGTTATTTATAACATGTATAACATATATTTAATTTCTTAATTTTTTTATATAAAATATTAAAACTTGAAAAAAAAATTAATTTTTTTCAAATTAATTTGAATTGAACTAAATTAATCTATATAACCTAAAATATGATTTTTTAAAATTAAATTAACCCGGATAAGGTTTCGATAATACCGACAAATATCTAGTGCATGGGCAAATCCAAAACTATAAAAAGCAAAATTGAAGATGGACATGCCCCTCCATGCACGTGAAGGCCTTGTGAACTTTTGTCCTGGCCATGAGGTTCAACCCTATTCTGCATAGGGCAAGCATGAGTATCTGATCGGTACTGCTGCCTCCGTCAGGCCGTAATAAAGACCACAAATTGCCTGTGAGAGAGATGCCCTCAACCACTTTATAGTGCACTACTGTATAGGATTAGTCCTTACAAACACGTTCTGAAATCTAGATCATTATAATTAACCTTCTATAAATTATTATAATTAAAGTACAGGATGTTTTGATTCATGTTATATATATATATAAGTTGCATATAGTTCTTTTTAAAATATCAAGATACTATAAACAAATATTGGTCAAATTGAACACATTAACTTCCACTGTTATTACTAATAAAACGTTAATTTTTTATTAATAAAAAATTAATTCAAGACGTGATAAGATTATGGTCAAAAAATCAATTTTCAATAGGTTTGATAAATTTCTAGTAATTTTAAAAAAATTAAAATGGCTTATAGTTCAAATGTTGAAATAGAAAGAGAAATTGAAGTGCTATGGGTTTGTAGTTAAAAAGAGATAAATAAGGACTTGAAGTGTTAAGTGCATGGAAAACTGCATCCGAGATCAGGACAACTGGAATAGGACAATATCTCACTATCACTTTCACGGTCTTTTTAAATCTATCAAAGATAAGGATATCCTCTTCTAGTATTCTCTTCCTATTTATAGTTTCCCATCAATATTTACCATATAATGCCACCTCCGGTTGTGACCTCATCTGTCATCCTTTTAAGGCTGTAAATTCAACCGCCTGCTATAAAAGCAAGGCTTTCAAGAACACAATAGCCTGTACTAAGAGGAAGAAAAACCAAGATAAAATCTTCATCAAGTTCTTAGTTCAAAAGGGATGGTTAGCTTAGAAGAAGAAAGGCTGGTTCAAATGGTACATGACTTCATAGAATCAGAATCATCAACACCACCCATATTTCCTGCTTCCTCAAACTGCCTTTCTATCAACCAAGCCAGGTGTTTTACTTTACAGGTAAATCTTTCTTTAATATTGTCGTGTCTTGAAATATTCCTTCTTGTTCTTTGTCTGGCTTTGCCTTTATCCATGTGTGTCTCCTAATATTATGGGTTCATTTTGATCTTATTTTTTGTTAGGAGATACTTGGGAGAGTAACGGAAGCTGAGACTAGAGTTCTTGAGACTCTATTGAAGAATATGAGAAGCAGAAATGATGCAGAGAAAACAACCAGTTCGAAGATGTGGCTCCTGAAGAGGCTGAAAATGGATGGTTTTAATGCTTCTATTTGTCGAACTTCTTGGGCCACTTCCTTAGGATGCCCAGCTGGTGAGTCCCTCTCCCCTCTCTCTATTCACACACCTCCACACATACTCAAGTCTATAACTCTCTCATTTTCTCTGTTACGTATCCCTGTAAATATCTGTTGGAGTACTTGATCTTGATTGACATGTCTAGGCTAGCTAGTTTGGCCTTTTCCCTTACAAATTAGTTTTCAAGAAGCTGTTTTACAAGTATGTCTCACAAATTAATTTTCACAAAGTAGATACAAACTTCTTTTTTTGTGTGGGTGTGTGTACGTGGGTAGTGCCAGAAATCTTCAGCATAAAAAAAAATAAAAAATCAATCCCTTCTTAATCAGAAAAAAGTCAGACATGGCATGTAATTACACTCTGAACAGGACGCTTCTTGTCGACAGCACCCTTATCTTTGGAGATCTTGTATGCAAAGCTCTGGCTTTTTTCTTTTTCTTTTTCTTTTTCTGTTTCTGTTTTGAACTTCAAGCTCTGGCTCCTAGGGAAATGGTGTAGAGTCCAAGGGAAGTAATTTTAATTTTCTGAAGCTCATTTATGTGTTTGTTTTTTGTGGGAGGTAACTCTCTTCTTTAATGCTGTTTTACAGGTGCTTACGAGTACATTGACATCACATTGAAAGGGGAAAATGGTGACACAGTGAGGCTCATAGTGGACATAGACTTCAGGTCCCAGTTTGAACTGGCAAGACCAACCCCATTCTATAAAGAACTAACAGACACACTCCCATCTTTTTTTGTTGGCAGCGAAGATAAGCTCAGCCAAATCATCTCCCTGCTCTGCTCAGCTGCCAAACAGTCTCTTAGAGAGAGAGGGCTCCATGTGCCCCCTTGGAGGACTAGCTCATACATGCAGTCCAAATGGCTATCTAGGTGTTGCAAAGTCACTAATGACAGTAACATTGGTCACAGCAGCAGAGAAAATGGTGAAGCTAAAAATGGCTCACGTCATGGGTATAGCAGTCTGTGGACACCTCCAATGGTTAAGCCCAAGATAAGGGGTTTGGGTGGTGGGTCCAGCTTATCTAGTCAGCTCTCCAGCGTGGGCATAAATTGTTGCTGACCATGTTTTGCTGCAACCCAGTTTTTAAATTTGACAGACTGATAGATTATTTTTTTTAGATTAATGTGGGTGTCCGGATTAGTTTGTGTATATCACAACTAATTACACGGGCCCTGAAGGTAACGATCATGTAAGTCGTAAACTTCCAATGACTATCATATAAGTAACCAAGGACTCGAATCTGAAACCACAAAGGAAATAAATCTCTTAATCCCGAGTCCTTACCCCGAGGAACTTTTTGTAATGTAACAGAGATATTTGCAAGAATAATACATTGTGCTACTGTTAACTCCCAAGCACACAAGTCTGTAGTGCAGAGCAGTCCCTCTCTTTTCCCGTCTTCAATTATCAAAAGCAAGTTGCGCTTCAATTCAATTGATAAAGTCTTTTGACATGATTTATTTTATTACAGCTGTTGCTAAAAAGTTTTTGGTAATTTTTATTGTATAAAAAAATAGAGTATTATACAAAAAATATAATAAAACAATGACAATGACAAGAAGGAAAAAAAAAGGGGAGTGAAACAGCACGCTGGATACACGCAATTCCACATCACTCATGCGTAGGTGGCCTATATTTTCAGTCCTGTATTTTCAATGATTTGTCACTTTGGCCCTTATAGTTTGGATTTTGTGAATATCATCCCTGATGTTTCTAGAATTTTACTATGCAGCCCCTAAATGTTAAACACCCAACTGCAAGAGCGAATTTTGAATCACTTCCTCGAATTAATTTGTTCGAAGCTTACAAGCATATTTTTGGTATTATCACATGGACGAGGGTGTGTGTGTGTGTGTGTGTGTGAGGGGGAGAGAGAGAGAGAGAAGAGAGCATGAAAAAAGTGGATTTGTCACTAAGATCCATTATGTTGGTCAGGGACTATATTGAAACATTCTAAAAACGTTAGGGTTGATGTTGGTAAGTGTAAATTGTAACTGCCGAAAGGGGACGAACTCCTCCGCTGTCCAGCTTTCGTGTTTTTTTTTTTTCTTTTAATTATATATAGTTATTCAATTTGGTTTATTTACAAATAAATATAATAATTTATTAAACTAAAATCTGAATTAAATTGAGTTTTTTTAAAAAAAATTATATTAAAAAACCATCTATAAATTATTAAATAAAATCTTAATATATAATTTATAACTAGTTGGACTTGAAACTTGGATAAATTTATATTATTTTATTTTTTATTTTTTATCAAGTAAATAATAATAGAAATATTTTAATTTATGATTGTTTTATTATTAAGATTTTCATATTATATTAAAAAATTATTTTAATTTAATAATTTAAATTATTAGATAAAATTTTAAGATATAATTTATATTATTTTAAGGTATTATTATTTTATTAAAAAACTTAATAAATTTTGACTGATTGGCCATCAAAAAAGCTGATCACCCCAGCTCATAAATCATGGATAGAACTAGAACATCCGGATTAAAGATTCCTAGCACAAGATTTAAACTAATCAGATCATTAAATCGATCGTAACAGTCATTCTGATCATATCCAACCATATTTTTTCATGACACAGTGCAATAATTATCAAGCACATCCAAGAGTGACGTTGGGGCCGCAAGCTAGCAGGTGAGAAATACAAGACAATGACACAGTCTTGAAAGGCAAAAACCAGTGGCTCTTCTAAAAACAAGTGGCAAAAAACAGGGGGGAGGGCAGGCTTTCTTTTTCCTCTCGCAGATAGAAAGGAAGAGTATATATTAATGCTTTTGGTTTTTGTTTTTGTTTTTGTCAGGCTTTATTGTATTTTGTCTATATTTGGCGTATACGCTACAGAAGCGTGAGTATTGACAGCACAAGCAAGAAGACAGATGCCCATGGTGATCAATCATGGAGTTATTAGATATTTAGATCTCCAGAAAGCTTGCTAACGTTCACGTTGCGGTCCATGATTCTATGATTTTCTTAAGTTAGTCCATGATTATCTTATCTCTGATCCTCGATCCTTATCTTCAAATAGTGACCGCAGCTTCTGAGTAGAGAATGGGGTGTTCATATTCAATAGTTTGATTTGTCTTGAGGATATATACTAGGTTTGCAGATTGGCTTGTGAATCAAGGCTTGTTCGCTTCAATTGGAGTGCATTGTTTTGATTCCTCGCCTATAAGAATTATTGATAAGAGCAAGGGGTTGCTGTTCTTTGTCTCTGTGCTTTGTTGTCCTTTTTTTTTTGAACATTTATCACTTTAATTTAACAAAAATAAATTAAAAAATTATTATTAAATAGAAACTACCCCTACGAACAAAGACTTAAGAAATTTGCAATTGATTATCTCATTGAAAGCAAGAACATCTATGATTAATTATCTCCTTGTTAAAAAAACACCAGCAAAAAGTTAATATGTAGTGAGCATGCATGACTTTCATGCCCAAGGAAGAATATATATATATATATTAGTTTGTTTATCTAGACTCTATCATTAAACCCATTATAAAAAGTAAATCTTTAGAAATTAACTTGAATTTTTGTCAATTATATATGAAAAAGTAGTATGACTCAATGTTCAACAAATTTAATATTAAATAATAAATTATCATTAAGCATTACTATTTTTATTATCATTATTATTATTATTTAACATTACTATTTTTATTATTATTTTATTATTATTGTTATCATCATAATTATTACTATTATTACTATTAGAATCGTTATTGGTGCTTTTACTATTACTAATATTATTTTTATTTTTATTTTTATTATCACTATTATTATTATCATAATCACTACTATTATTATTATGATAAATTATTATTATTACCACTACTATTATTATTATAATAAATTATTATTATTAATATAGTTACTGTTACAATTATTAGCAACACTATTATTATTATTATTATTATATCAACGGTTCATATGCAAATATTCTTCTCTTTGCTCTTTAAAAATACAAGATTTTCGAGGCTTAAAGCCACAGTACATGGAACAGACAAGACGAAATGCAAGTAAATCCATGAATATGCTTCAGGTAATGGAATGAGAACAGGAAAATTTCCATGATAAGAATATTAATCTTTAATCAAATTCATTAGTTCAAATTCACTGATAGCAAAAAATAAGTTTTGTTTGTCATTTCAAATCCTCCACTTCTCCTCTGTCTAGCAAATAAAAACTAGCCAAACTAAAACAGAAACATCCATGAATTTCACCACCAATACTAGCGTGACTTTCGCACAGTTGAATTACTAATATCTGCATTAATTAAATATCTCAAATGTCATTAGAAAAGGAGTCCAAAAATAAAAAAGAAAATTTCAAACCAGCAGCCTCGAGATATATATATTATAATTTGTGCTTGAAAATAACTTTTAACTGGTTACAATGAAATGATTCCTTGTAGAAATAGGGAAGTGGAACACATTGACAAAACTTTAATTCAATTTAATAACCACATTAAAAGTTCATCTGTTTTCATCATCAAATTTGTTTAACTTATCAAGACTTTTATATATATATAGTGTTTCATGTTAAAAAATCATTTTTATTTAATAGTTTAAGTTTTTAAATGATATCTCAAAATATAATATATATTATTTTTTTAATATATCTCTTTAAGGAAAATCTTTTGAGTTTGAGAAATTTGGACAAACTTATATTACTTTATATTTAATTTTTATTAAATAAATAAGAATAATAAGAATCTAATTTTTAACTACTTTGATTATTAAAATTCTAATATTATACAAGAATTATCTTTACCCAATAACTTAAGTATTTAAATAAGTTTCCAAGGTATAATATATATTATTATATAATATTTCATATGTCTATTAAATATTTTGCTCCATCTCAAAGCTTAACAAAAAAAAAATATTATGACATCATTTATTGTGACATAAATTTAGTTTTTATCTTTCCAAAATAAATTATAAAAAAATGGCTAAATTAACTAGCTAAGTGGTGTAACCGGTTTTCTATATAATAACGATGGCTTTCAAGCAACTACTTAGCAGATCTTGTATGAACGTTGAAGCAATTTAGCATACGGTTCACCTGATTTGTTTTGTTCGTTTATAATAACAGTGCTCAAATATTAATTATACATCAACCCATTTGCTTACCAAATCTTCTCTCTCTGCTCCTCAAACATTAAAAAATAAATTATATTCTCTTTTTTTCTTTTTGTTTCTTGAAAAAATTAAAACACAAAATTTTCACGTAGCTACAGTCATAGTACAATGAAGTGATCCAAGAAGCGCCAAGCAATCCCATATATTACTCCAGTACGTAATGGAACTTCTACTTTTTTCAAATTCATTTGGCCAATCTGATAAATCAATGTAGAAAAGTAAGCAAACAAATTATTTATTAATGCCATTTCACGAAATTCTGAAGTTTCCTGATTTAGCAAATAATAACTAGAGAAAAAAACACTCTATGATGATATTTTATGCTATTTAACGACGACTTTAACATCTTATTTTCTTGCGCAGCAATAAATCTTTTATAGACGTACCCAAAGTTATTAAATCAAACTTAATTTTAAGATTGACTTACAAGTTAAATGAATTAATTCATATTTTCCGTGTTAATTTAAAAGAATAATATTTTAAGATTTTTTAAAAAATCAAATTAAATCAATCAAGTAGCAAGTTGATATGTGGGATTGATCAAGCTACACCAAATTAATTGTTATTTAAAATCTAATATATATCAAAAATAAATTAATAAATCATCAAGATAACCTCCTCGTTCAAGTTTAATAATACCGGCTGCATGTATTACAAATTCGATCCCTGATAAAAGATTTTCAGATGATACAAAACAAAAAAGCCATAAATAAGAGTACCCTTGCTGAGTTTACCGATGGAAGCTTAGCTCAATGGTTATAATAATGCCCCCCGCCATTAATTATACGCCGCTAGTTATTGCTACAGGGCAATATTTGTAAGATCATGCAATGCCAAATCCTTGACTGGTGCTGATCTTCTGTCTAGCAAAGAATGAGTATATCTATTCAAGCCAAACCAGAAACATGAATGGATCGAGTTCACCACTCACTCACAGGAATCTCTTTCTTTCTTTCTTTCATGCATGCATATATTAATTCATAAGTTGAAACCACTACATAAAATGAAATCATAGTTCTTGGAAAATTAGCAGAATTTGAATAAAAATATCATTTGGTACATTTCCTTTGTACGATTTGTTGGCCACCAATTTGATCCTTTTCTTCTGATTTGGTGTTGTATTAATATCAAAGAAGAAAATGATGGGAATCTGGCTAATTTTTGACTATGTACATTAGCACTGGATTAATTTATTTGAATTAATTTAGGTGTTGGTGAGGAAAGAATATTATATATTAGATGGCTAATCCTGACTTTAACAACACCAAACACTGGACTGTTATCCTGCAGATTCATGTTAGGTCTG